TCATACAAAGGGAATTATGTAATGTTTTCTTTAAAGACTGAATTTGGCTCACTCTCTCCAACGCTGTTTTTTTTCTCTTCTTTTCCCCATCCTTCACTTTAGAACAATGCCTCTTTGATTATTTTTTTCCACGGATTGCAAGCACAGATTTTTAGGAGCATCTAAACACCCATTTTTAATGGTGTTAAAGAAACTGAAGCCAAACGCTTACGGCAGCAAATAAGACACAGTAAAAAAAAATTACCCTGTAATTAATTACTTGTTTGGCTTTTCTTTAAGCATGGATCTTCAGCTTTGTTAATAAAAAAGTCCATGAAGAGGAGAATGACATCTTACACTTTACAGGGCTAGTGGTGATTGTACTGATGTGGGAAAACTATACCAAAATGTATTTCTCGTTACTCCTTTCATTATTTCTACTTTACTTGTGACCTCCTGAAAAGTAGTAATTCTTTTCAAGACTCGTTACATTAGTTTTGTAATAATCTGGGCACTGTCTTGGTATATACTTTTACAGTTGCTGTTATGACTCCCTAAAGATCATTTGCTGCACATTCAATAATCATATTCCAGCACATGTCAGTGTTCTGCTCCTACACAATCATCCCAGAGAAAGCTGTTTTTACGCTTCAAACACAAAGCTAATCAACATTTAATGTACACTACCTAACAAAAGTCTGGTCGTCAATCACAGTTGTGTAAGAGCTACAAAAAATCACTTGACATCTAGTTGATCATTTGGAAAAGTGGCAGAAGGTATATTTTTCAGATGAATCATCTGTTAAACTGCATCCCAATCATCACAAATTCTACAGAAGACCGATTGGAACCTCCGTGGACCCAAGATTCTCACAAAAATCAGTCAAGTTTGGTGAAGGAAAATTATGGTTTGGGGTTACATTCACTACTAGGTTGTGCAAGAGATCTGCAGAGTGGATGGCAAAATCAACAGCCTGATGTATAAAGACATTTGTGCTGCTCATTATATTACAAACCACAAGAGAGGGCAAATTTCTCATCAGGATAGCGCTTCTCCTCATACGTCAGCCTTCACATCAAAGTTCCTGAAAGCAAAGAAGGTCAAGGTGCTCTGGGATTGGCCAGCCCAGTCACCATTCATTATTGAGCATGTCTGGGGAAAGATGTGAAGGGGGAGGCATTAAAGATGAATCCAAAAAATCTTGATGAATTCTGGAAGTCCCGCAAGAACACTTTCTTTGCCATTCCAGATGATTTTATGAAGTTATTTGAGTCTTGCAGAGATGTATGGAAGCAGTCCTCCGAGCTCATAGGAGTCACACTCAATATTATTTACTTTCTTCACTGCACCATGACTTTATATTCTATACTGTACATTATTTCTGTTAAGTGACAAGACTTTTGTTTAAGCAAAGTCAGACCTTACTGTGAAGACATAATTTTATAATTTCGGAAAAAAATCCAGAATGTCAAGACGTAAGTTTATAACGTCTAGAAAAAATCCAAAATGTGAAGACGTAAGTTTATAACTTTTGAAAAAAATCTAGAATGTCAAGACGCAAGTTTATGACATGTAGAAAAAAATCCAGAAAAAATCCTAATTAAATAATTAAAAATCAAGGCATTATCATATTTTATTTTATTGAAATAAGCGTAATCTAAGAGACCTTTTCCTTTCATACAAGCAGTTTCTGATATACTGTAAATGATCAACTAGAAATCAAGTTATTATTTGTTGTTTCTAAAGATTAGATTGTCATGTGTACATGGAAAATGCTACTGTAAGCAGATGTAGCTATTAGCTTGTCTAAAATCGTTGTTTCTAACTCATTATATGACCAAAATCTACATTAAGTAACACAGTGATGTTTTATTGGCTGATAAGTCTAGAAACTGTACACTAAATCCAGAGTAATAATCAAGGAATTTTGCTGTCATGCCATGGCTAAAGTAGGCACAATATTATACAATGAAGGGAAATCAGCTATAGCTTCCTTTAATGTAACCAACGTGACCAGTTGCTTGCACTGGGAGCGTGCCTTGTAACCATGCAGACATCTGAGAAAAATGCTCCTCCACCGCTCCGTCATAAACGCAACAGATACACTATGATTTAATTTATTCAACCAACAAAACAAACAACTCTTTGAAATTTGGAGAGTTAGTTATTAATTGTCCAGATAAATGATCCATATATATAATGCAGAGTCTAAAAAGTAGAGTAAATTTAAATACTTGATTAAATTCCCTTTATACTAAATAGCCTATATTTTTAGTAGACTAAATAGTTTATTTCATTTACACCTTTTTTCCTCTTGTATTTATCCAGTTTATTTTTGTTGACTGTGAAACTGCTTATTTCAGGGGAGGTTTGGGGGTCATTTTGGGGTTTTTATTATCTTAAACACCAGGTTCTCCATCACTAATGTTTGCTTAGGGCAATTTTTACAGTAATATGCTACAAGTAATTTGTTACCACCCAACACTTCTGCTTTCATTGCAAAGCCCCCTGACAGGTGCAGGCTGCCCGTTCAAAAGCCTGATGATAATTAAGGACTTATGGAGGACGTGTGTGTGAGAGAGAGAGATAGCAGGATGACATTGACTCAGAGTCTGTGATCAAACCTCAAAGAGTAATGTGTGTGTGTGTGTGTGTGTGTGTGTGTGTGTGTGTGTGTGTGTGTGTGTGTGTGTGTGTGTGTGTGTGTGTGTGTGTGTGTGTGTGTGTGTGTGTGTGTGTGAGTGTGAGTGAGAGAGAGAGAGAGAGAGAGAGAGAGAGAGAGAGAGACTGAGAGCTGGGGGTTTTCTGAACTGGAAAAGATTTGAGCCCCTCCAACCTCATAAATGCATTAATTTAACTGACTAGGTGTGCGAAAGGTTCTGCGGTTTGTAAATGCTTGCCATGACTCTGTTCATATTTCAGAACTTTTATTAGAGCAACATTCAAGTGTGGTCTTGCTGTTGGAGGACTCGTGATAAAGATCTCAGAGTTTGTTCCAATCCATCAAAACACAAATCCTTTTGCAAGGAAAAGATTAAAAATGATAAGTAAACCACAATGTCGATATAAGTCACAAGGTTGTAAGGATTTGGTAATAGCGCTAACAAAGTACAGGGTTCTTACTGTGCCATTATGCCTATAAGCTATATATATATGAAGAGTTTAGATGCAAAAACTTGTAAATGCTGTCTGAGTTTTTCCACTAAAATGAGCGTTTTTATCAGGCTCCTGTGTGTTTGTTCAGTAATATTACTTTGATAGCAAAGAACAAGTCCTTTATATCTCAACATAACCAAAGGAAGTTGAGTAAAATGTTCAGTTTCGATGGAAATTTCAGATGGCACTTGAGGTTTTTGCATCTGAACTCCTCATATATATGTCCATATATATATAAATATATATAAAGATGCAAGTATAAACACTGTGACAGTGCACCTAGCTTTTTAATGTGGATTTTGAACATGGAACACAAATAATATTTTCTAACAATATCAGTGTGTGTATTTGTCCTGCATGTAGCTTTAAGTAATAACAAATTTTTCACAACCCTGTTTGAGTTTCTTTTTTTAGGTTCAACATAAAATAAATGTTTTTGAGATATCTTGTTGCCCGGTGGCCACTGACTTTTTGTAACATTCTTCAAATTATCTTCTTTAGTTTTTAAAAGAACAATAAAATTCGTAAAGGTTTTTAACCCCTTTAGGGTGAGTTATTATATATTTAATTGTAAATGTTGTCATTTTCATTTGAAAATCTTTGCTTAAAATGTGTTTACATGCTAATAATAAATATTGATAATATTAAAGTAATATATTAGCTATATATACACATATTTACTATACACACACACACACACACACTTATATATACAATAAAAGTCAGAATTATTGTTTGTCAATTTTTTTCTCCCCTGTTTCTGTTTAACGGAGAGAAGATTTTTTAAACACATTTCTAAACATAATAGTTTTAATAACTCATTTCTAATAACTGATTTATTTTATCTTTGCCATGATGACAATAAATAATATTTGACTAGATATTTTTCAAGACACTTCTAAACAACCTAAAGTGGCATTTAAAGGCTTAACTAGGTTAATTAGGTTAACTAGGCAGGTTAGGCAAGTTATTGTATAAACATGGTTTGTTCTGTAGACAAGCAAAAAATATATAGCTTAAAGGAGCTAATATTTTTGACCCTAAAATGATTTAAAAAAATTAAAAACTGCTTTTATTCTTGCAGAAACAAAACAAAAAAATACTTTCCCCAGAAGAAAAAAACATTATCAGCCATACTGTAAAATGTCCTTGCTCTGTTAAACATCATTTGGGAAATATAAAAATGTGTGTGTATATATAGCAAATATATTATTATTATTATTATTATTATTATTGTGCTTATTATTTTAATATTATCAATTTTTATTATTAGCATATACACACATTTTATGCAAACTTTTTCAAATTAAAATGAAAAAATGTTCAATCAAATATACAATTTACTTATCCACAAATCAGTCATTACTGCTATAATATCAGCAGTAGTATTCTAACTAGCAAAAATCTAGCATAAACTTTACTTTGATATTTAAATACCACAAAAGACTTATGCATATATATATATATATATATATATATATATATATATATATATATATATATATATATATATATATATATATATATATATATATATATTAGTAATTAAATGTAATTTGCAACTCCAGATTCCAGATATGGTAATAAAATAATAAATATTGATAATATTGAAATAATAATTGCTATGAATTATATACAATGTGTGTATATTTATGTATGCATGTATAGGTGCGTGTTTGTATGTGTATTATTGCCTTTTGTGGTATTTAAATATAAAAAGTAACGTTACTACATCTTTAATTCTAAGCAGTATCTCCTGTGCTCGTATCAGGTTGTTGCATTAATTCTGTTGCTGCTGTGCACCTCACACAAAACACGGTGAACGCCCTCGGATATTTTGGAAGGGGTGTCATGTTTTTGATCGAGAAGCTTCTATTTATAATGGATTGCAGCAATGGCTCGAGTGTGAGGCGGGAATCATATGACCTGCGCTCATTCCTGTAGTATCGCCGTGTCGCGCGCGCTGGGAAGCGCATTTCTCTCCGCCCGGCTCTCGCGTTCGAGGAGCTCAGCTTTAACATGCACCAGACTGCAGTTCACCACTGAAAAACTGACGGATATTCATTTAAACAGCGCGTTTATTCTTCTGTTTACAAGAATATACGTGGTTTCGTGAGACGATGCCGGAAGAGAAAGGTAATGTCGCCCTTTGAGTTTTTGAATATAGTGTGTGCTTGTTTATTTCACATGACTGTTAATAGCGCTTTGTCATTGATGTTACATGATGGTTTCAATGTCAACCAATAGCGCATTCAACGTTACGACGTTTATTTCCACCATTATGACAGAATTTGAGCTTTGTATTATGATATTTTGGAATATTTGGTCGTGCAACAGTTTATATTTCATCTTTGGACACATTTAGCAAATGTTTACTCGCATTTTGTTAGATTGTGACTCTGCTAAACAGAATGAGTATTGTCTTTTAAAACAACAACAACATGATTTTGGCAGAAGGACACAGTGTTGCACTCCAGGAGCTCAGATGCAATCTGGTCTCCTTGGACAGCGAGATGTTTTTGCTTGTGTGTGTGTGTGCGCGTGTGCACGTGGTATTCCCTGATATATATGCATTTATGGAGACTAAATGTACCCACAAGTATATTCTTGGTGTATAGTATTGACCTTGTATGGACATTTCTGTTCTCTGTGAGGAAATAGCTGTATATAAAACATACAGAATGAAGTATTTTGAAATTGTAAAAATACAGAAAGATTTTGAGGGAAAGGTAGTGCTGGAGAAAGTAGATCAAATATAATGTTTGTTCTGTATTTAAGTCTTTATTTCTATAGGACGTCCCCTTAAGGACAGCAATATGATAGCTATTTAAGTGTGTGTATGTGAAGGAGAAAGTGAGAACATAAAGGGGAGGGGTGGATGAAATACTGGCATGTGACATATAGGGATTTTTTTTGAGTTATAATTAAAGAGCACTTGATTATTATTAGAGGTGTCCATGATTATTTAGCTGTCTTCCTTAAAAGCCAGGTTTTTATTTTGATTGTCATGAATAGACCCTGCAGTTTCATCTGAATAAGAAATCAGTTAAATGCTTTTGAAGCAATCAGTGTGCATTAAAGCAGGGTTTGAAACGTTTCCCCCTTCTGTTGTAACAAATACCTTGAAACAGCTTCTCAAATAAGAAAAATATTAGATTTGTATTTTTACTTACTATTTTTTATTATTGCGTTTTTAAAGACTATTATCATTAAAAAATGAGCAATTAAACATTTCAATTAAATAGATGTTAAGTGGTGGATGAAATATTTACAGAAACCTGATGGCCAAAAGCTGATTGATTGCCAGTGAATGTAATTACATGGGGTGGCATGGTGGCTCAGTGGTTGGCACTCTCACCTCCCAGCATGAAGGTCAATGGTTCGAGTCCTGTCTGGGTCAGTTAGTATTTTTCTGTGTGGAGTTTGCATATTCTCCCCGTGTTGGCGTTGGTTTCCTCTGTGCTCCGGTTTACCCTACAGTCCAATGACATGCGCTATGCGAATTACATGCGCATGCAAAAATGAATGAATGAATGTAATCATATGTTTCAATTAAGAAAAACTATTTAAAAACAATGGCAAGGTTGACTCTGTAAGTGAATTTTAGTAAGGAAACAGAAATATTCATTGATTTAAGCCATTTTTTGCATGCTTTTTATATTGTTTTGCATTCAAGTCAAATTTAAAATTTTAAATGACAAAGTTTGAATCCTATTTGTCTATAAGTCCTATAATGTTTAAGAATGAAATCAGTAACCACAGAGCAGGTGGTCTTTTGTGGCTGCTTAAAATGTATTTGAACATATGAACATCTCAGTAATAAAACAAATCAAAGAAAAGGTGCTTAGACTACATCTGGAAGTTGCCAAAATTGGACAAGCTCAGTCGTCCATTTGTAATCCGATCAATAAAACCAGGTCTCAAAGTGTAAGCAGGCCCTGATATGGCCAGTTATTGTCAGGTTTACAGTCAGGTCAGTGTATCAGTCGACTTAAATTTGTGGCAGAATTGCTGTGGGCATCTACATCACAGAGAGAGAGAGTTTTGGCACCTGACACTTTGAGATCACAAAGCAACTGACTGCAGGAAAGGCCTTGCTGTCACACGTTCACAAGGGCAAACGCATCCAAGTCATGATATAACTGTTGGACGGGTCTCAACAGCTGCAGAAATACCCGGTGCTGACCGTGGTGATGGTAAACAAACTCTTCTTTAATGCGACAAACAAGAATGTGATAGGAAAGATGGACAAATTAAATATAACATACACTCAAAAAATTACCTTTGCTGTGGTCACACTGATTATTTAAAATGAGGTGAAAACAACACAACTTTTGAGTTTTTTGCAACATCTTAGCTGTTTTATGTACAATAATTCTTACACTTGTAAAGATTAATAAGTAAATTTAAATCCTTCATGTTTTTCCAACACAAATCAAGTGTGTGGAACCCAGTATTTTTTACTATGTAGTATCTTACTGATCAGGGGTGCATTTTCTAAAACTGTAGTTGCTCTGTCACAGTTAGTTATGATGTAAAGTGTCCGTAATGACACTCTAAAATAGGGCTGCACCATATTGGAAAAATCTGACACATGCGATGTTTTGTTTTTCTGCAATATACAGTATATTGCGATATGAATATAATTTCACGAGATGGTTTAAACAGCTAGATTTAATTCATTTAGATAGGTTTGTATGATCTGTTTGTTATGCAGTAATTCTGCATAAATCCTAATAAATTACAAGCATATAATAAAAACAACAGAGCAAAGATAAAAGTCAAATAGATAGTGCTTTATGGTTTCTGGAGAGTCTAACAGTATTCAGGTACAGAAATTAAACAATCAAAGACAAAATAAAATGGTCATCATTGTATAAATTATTTAAAATAATAATATCTTTATCTTTAATCAATAATGTAATCTGATGTGATTAATGCGGATACAGACATTGTGATATCGATGCTCAGACAATAGTGGGTGAAAATAAGAAAAAACACAAGAAACGGATATGTGAAACTAAAATTATTTATTAAACAATGATATAACACAAAGAATAATGTGAATTGAATAGGATTTAAATAGGAAGTTTGGCTAGAGGAGAAATGGTCGTGCCCAGCTGAGCATGGTTTCTCTCTAGGATTTTTTTCCTTCACTTTTGTCATTTGATGAAGTTTGTTCCTCACCACTGTCGCCACTGGCTTGCTTGGTTTGGGAGTTGTGGAGCTGTGCATTTGTGGATTTGCTCTTCAATGTAAAACAATCTAACTAAACCCCAACACACTATAGTTAGCCAAAACCATAATCTTCAGGTATGCAACGATTTGCTAAACTACTCAAACTATTCAAATCAAAACTACGAGGAGGGCAACTCCTCCGTAAACTAACTAACACAATAGACTATTCTAATCAGAATTAGAATTACGAGTCACATTATGTGAGCAGTTAGCAAATCAAAGACGGTCATCTGGTAATCCAATTCTCATAAAGATCTTTCGACTTCCTTATAATCAGGTAAAGTATTAGCTACAAAGCTTAGCTTAACAATAAAGCCCTTAAACGAGAGACAGAGAGAGAGAAAAAACTAAACCATTAAGATTACAAACACTACACAACAGGCTGGTTGACGCAAGTGAGGAGTGTTAATATCAGTTATACATTTTAGTATGATTTGCTCGCATCCTCCAATGACAGATGGATTAAGGGTGGGATTTGGGGGTTTGCCTTCTTTTAAAAATCTTGCATTTTGGTATGAAAGAAATTGTATGAATTTGTACAAATTTTTGGACAATACGTAAAAAACCTTACATTTCCTCATGAGATCGGTCTGGTGCATCAGAAGAGCTTTTGTTTGTCCTTGGGTGCAAACATGAGATATCAATGAACAAAAGTGGACAAATGTGAGTCTTGGATTCTTATCTTGCTTTTTCTCTACCACAAAGAATAATAGATTAAGTGCTTTAGATCCATTACTGTGGTTACTGGTGTTGGCCTCCCATGCGACAGAAAGCTGCTGAAATGGAGTTACTCTTGTTGCTCAAAATGGGTATGCAATTTGCTTTAAAATCCTTTAATCATCCTGCCATGTCCGAGGATCATCCTCTCACACAGCTGCAAGCCCTGCGGATGAATTAATGCTTTAAGTTTCTTGTAGATTTAAGCATCTCTTGGAATGTTTGTGTGGCTTTGACACTATTTGAACATTTTGTAGTGTTACACTACACTTTTGACGCATCTTTACATTTTGTAGGGTTCCTCTTCCTCGAATTGTAACACTTTAAAATAAGGTTGCATTAGCCAATGTTAGTTGGCATTTAATAACATGAACAAACAATACATAATACATTTATTACATTTTGTTCATGTTAGTTATCGTTAGTTAATGAAAACAAAAGTTCAGTGTTAGTACATTTTAACTCATTAAAATGCTAACAAACCTGAATTTAGATTTTAATAAGGCGTTAGTAAATGTTGAACTGTGATTAATTGATAAATGCTGTATGGTTTATTATTAGTATATACATAGTTCATTATTATTTATTATTAGTTCATATTAATAAATACATTAGCTAACAGTACTTAATGAAACCTATTGTAATGTGTGACTGATATGTTTTTTTTTTTTTTGCCTAATTAAATTAAAAATGTTGGAAGTTTATAATATTGGAGTTTATACACCTGCACATTGATGTTTTACAGTATATGTACCTTCATTTTACATTTAGAATCCATTTGAAATCATAAGACAAACATATTTTTCACACAGTACATTACAATGTTTTTTTTTATTTAGTTTTTTAAAATAAATAATTCAGCTATAATTCATTGTTCAACAGCCAAGAACAAAGAACACACTTCACACTACATACATATGATACATGTTACATATTCAGCCACCTGTCACACCAAGACAATTCAACTAAGAAAAACAACGTATAGCAAACATACATGGAAATTAAGGTTGTGGTACGTTTGAATGTACATACTAATTTATCCCAATTTTAGATGTTGCCAGAGATTATCCAATTTTCTATGTACTTCTCCCTCATTGTTCAATCTCCTCAGCATGCACCCATATGATGCAATTTCAATCATCCCATTAATCCACTCTTTTATTTCTGGCATTCTGGGACAC